GGGGAGCAGAACAGGCAGATAGATGAAGTACACTGCTGAGGGGAGCAGTGGGAGACCTCAGGAGAGGTCTGCTGAGCCATGTGGATCTCCTCCGGGGCAGGCGGGGATCAAACTCATGCGGAAATGGCTTAAGCTTCTTAGTGCTGTGCTTTAACCTGCTGCGCCACCAGGGAGGGCCGGTCTTTGCCTTTTTTTAGTTGTCCATTAAAACAACAGAAATACTCACACTACCTCTTCACGGTAAAGAGTAATGAGTAAGTGGCTGGCCTGCAGTCATAGCATGTTACAGAACTGAAGCTAGGACTCGGATTTCTCCACAACTCATTTAATGCTACCTGTCAAACCTAGGAAGTTAGAAAGTTGAAAAAGCTCTTATCTCCACGAGAGATGCTCGCTGGAGAAAATGACTGAGTGTCCCTACTCTAAAAGACAGAGTGGAGGAGAAAATGAAGAAAACGGAACTGGAGACTCAGCCACTCCTGTGGGGCGCGTGTCAAGTATGGCGCAGCAGGCAGGTGCTGAGGAGCACCTCTGCTCCACCACAGCTTCTGCAGCCAGATGCCGACGATTCCATTGCATTTTTTAAAATAATGAAAATTATCACAACTACTTGCAAGAACAAAGATTTGAAGCACCTGCTCCTTCACCTCTTTAAATCATATTCTACCTAGTGTAACACTCAAATTACTGTACTTGAGACTAATATGGAGTCAAAAACCCAATAAATATGGGTGTAAGTCCACCTCAGAGAGTCTAATATAAAAGTAACCAATCCTTGCCCCTAACCTGTTAAACCTCTGCTGCCAGGGATGAGGCGAATGAAGGTTTAGAACAAACTATCAAGGCAACTAGAAAACAAATACATCGTGAAGACATTCGCAGTGTGTGCTAAGACAAGCCTGCACTCACTGGCAGAACAGCTCAGGAAAACGGGGTGACAACCCAAGAGTGGCAGTAATTATTAAATAAAGTTCTTGCCACTTTCTTTCTATGTAACAACAATCCTGAAAATGAAAGAACCTTATTGGGTGGTGTTTTCACTACAGGGAGGGAGGCAACAGAACTAGAAGCAAACATTCACCTCTGTGTATCTTAGTCAAAACGCAACTACATTTCCCTTCCTGCCATCTTCCGGAGATGGTAGCCCTGTGACCTCATCAGGAGACTTCTCAGACCTCCAACACAAAGCACCAACACAAAAGGTTGGAGGACACAAGAATGGCCCCCTGCTTATCCCCTATTGTCAACACATTTAAATATATTTCATTTGCAGTTGCTCCAAACTGAGGTATATTCACTGTAACAAATATTCACAAGGAAATATCTTTAAAGGAAGTTTGTGTTTCTTACCTTGCTGATAAAGGTTGGTTTTAATCTAGCAGTGGCATAGCAAGGATTGAAATACTTAGAAAGTGTTCGCTGGCAAAGGACAAAAGAGAAAGATATTAATTGAATTTATATTTTAAGTTTAGAACAAACACGTTATTACATGTTAAGTTATCCCTACATGGAATAAGACATGCTTACCCCATGCCTGTCTCTATGCTAGCTAAGTCTCTTAGCTTCATCTTCTTTTATTCTAAATGAGCAGTAACTACATTCTTTATAAGCCATACACCAAATTACTGAAAAAAAAAATTTTAATTTATATTTTCCAATTTCTGTAAAATTATAAAAAATACTATTAAAAGTCTGCTTCATCATATCTTTTTACTAAATAAAATCAATCAAACTTCCTTATCTCTAATTTCTTTAGTAGGCTAAAAACCAAATAAATAAAATACTATTTTCACAGAATTGGGAACAAAAGATGAGGTTACTTATGCCACGCTAATGTACTCAAATACAGTGGTTAACCAGTGAACAAACATTCAGACAAACCATTCCCTGTACATACATCTGTGACTTTAAAATCCAGTCCTAAACAATCCACAGTGGAGGCTAAGCGAGGCAGAGAAAGGGGCTGGCTTCTGCAAAAACTCCTAACAGAGTTAGGTTGCTAGTGTGGGTTTTATCTCTACAAAATGAAGATTTTGACATAAAACAAAAATGTTTCTTTTTAAAACTAAATATGATGTTAGCTAAACAAGAGTGATTTAAATAACATGATTGCTATGAGGGGTTTTTTTTTAGTTCTTGGAAACTGGCTTAAAAAACAACTGCCACAAGCTACTACCACAAAGTGAAACTCAGTATACAATACACTGTGGGGTGGGTAGGTTTTTTTGAAATTTTTTGGCTTAAGTTGTAAGAATGTTAAAGAATTTTTTTTTTTAACTCACCGGTGTTGGAAGAGTTCGATATCTGACATAAAAAACAGCAGCAATCAACATTACATCTCTTGAAATTATCATATAAGTAAGTGGAACTGAAAATCAAATACAAAATAATTTTGATTGGAATTCAGAAGGCAACAAAGACATTATGCAATGAAGTCTCATTCGGTCTTACCACAAGCTGCTATTTCACAAGAAGACTTGTTTCACTTTAGAGTCTTCTGCAGTGTGAGAAGGTTTAACCGTGAACTATTTCACTTTTATAAGAAAAAAAATATTTTCTTAAGAAAGGGGGGAGAAATGAAATCCTGAGGTTAACACTCAGTTCAAATTGTTTTGACTACTGAAAGAAAAGGATCATGAATTTTCTTCCAAAATACTTCGAAACAGCTCTCTTACGAGAATTATTTTCAAAACTATACTGTTTCTATTTTGATAGAAGAACCAATAGGTTCTTCAACTTTAGCAAAATCTCACTGATTTAATATTAATTTAAAATTCTGATTTTTGTTCAGCACTGCAGAGATATAAGTGTTGACCCCTGCCCCCGTCCTTAATAACGTCCACTCCAGTCAGCATCATAGCACACAGAAAGTAGCCTGGCCAACACAAGGCACTCATGACTTTCAGAAGTCGCTGTGCCTGTGAAACACATTAGCTGGCAAAGTCCCATTTTCAAAAGCAGCAAATGACATATAGTAAACATCCTAAGCACGACTTTAGAATAAAATAAACACCTGTTATTGTATCTCATCACCCTGGGGCAAAAAACACAACTTAGTCCTAAATAAGTGTCTGCAGAAGGGGAGCTATGATTCAATATACCTTAAAGACTTGGCTTCTAGTTCTAAGTATTAATTATAAAATTGTCATTGATCGTAATCTGGAATGTCTTCAATCATTTTACACGTCATTTGATCTATATAGCAACTTTATGAAACTGTATGAAACAGTGATTATCACTACCCATGTTTTATAAATAAGGAAAATAAGCCTTGGGAAGATTAGACAGCCAGTCTGTAAGAAGTACAGCCAGGAATGGAACCTTGGTCTATGGGAATTCTTAGCCTATGCTCGCGGGAAGTATTAGGCTCAGTTCTGCAGTGTGACTAGCAAGTAGCTTCTCTGGACTCAGTTTCCTATCTGTAACTGGCAGAGGAAATGATTATTAACAAATCCAGGGATGTGCAAGCTGAATGCCCACCACAGAGCATTTGCAAACACATACATGAAAGGCTTTTGGGGATTTCCACACAGTCAGGCTGGGGCTCTGGGTGATCTCTAAGGTCTCTGCCAACTGACCATGTACATACAGGTTCTTTCTTTGACTCTTTGAGGAATTTTACTCAGTCCCCTGGCTTCTGCCTCTTCTAACCATCCCTGCTTTCTTCCCTGGCCTTTCTTCCTTTCCTTTTGTTTCAGGACTTAAGTAGCTTTTATTCTGCCTTAGTAGAGTTAGTGGGGTAAGTATATGTAAAATGTGTCAGGGATTGTACCGAGATCTCCCTCCCTACTTGTTAAATGAGTCTGAAAAATAATATCTGCACTAGGAGGTACATCATCGGCAAATTCTATTAAAAGGAAGATAATAAAATCAGGTCACCCTTACATATTAAAAGTGGTCATTTTCATGTTCTAGATTATTGTAGAAATAATAAATTAAACAACAGAATAATTATTCTAGAAATTAATTTGAATCAGCAACATGAAATAAAATAACAAAGCAGAAAAGAGTAACTTTGGTAAATGTAGCCCAACAAGTGCATCTAAGCAAGTACAAAGTCATTTAAACTCACATACTACATGGTCATATAAATGTAACATAACAAATCAGATCATTGATTACCATTCCTCTCTCCCTTTGTATAGAAAAAGCGAGTATAAAAGCAGATTTACCTAGTCAGAAAGCTAATTTCTTACTCTTAAAGAAACAAGGCCATTACAATCAAAGCGAAAGAAACTTATTTAAAAATGCAGTATAAAAAATAAGATGCAAGATCTCACATGAATTCTCACCCCCAAACCCTTCTTAAATGACAGTAAAGGAACAAAAGGACTTAAAGTCACAAAAGCAAGAGAGTGGGTAAAGGAGACAAATTTTAAAGCTGACTAAGTTTACCAGTAATAATTATGTTAGGTGAGTGGGGAGAGCTGAAACCAGAGTCCCTTAGACAGGAATGCTAGCTACAAAAAGGCTAGCTTGTACCAGCAAAATGGAGAAAGTCCAGATCATGTGCGATTGAGCCTATCCTCTGGCACCATTTCTCTATGTCCATACAATAGGCTGAGGCTCTCTGCTGTTAAAAGAGTTCTTACATCCTTTTTTTTTTTTTTTTTTAAGATTTATTTATTCATACAGAACTGGGGTACAGGCCAGAGATGCAGAGGTTGAGGCTTCACCAGAGACAAGAGTGGGGAGCAGAACAGGCAGATCTACGAAGGACACTGCTGAGGGGAGCAGAGGGCGGGTCAGGAGAGGTCAGGAAAGGTCTGCCGCACCATGTGGATCACCTCCGGGGCAGGCGGGGATCGAACTCATGTGGAAGTGGCTTTAGATTTTCAATGCTGTGCTTTAACCCGCTGTGCCACCAGGGAGGGCCAAGTTTGTACATTCTTAAATAGTTGGGGCAGGGTGGTGTTGGAAGAATATAAAAACTTCTGTTTCAGAATATACGAAAATTAAATAAAATTCAGTTTCTAGTGTCTATGAGCAAAGTTTTATTGGAACACAGCCATACTCACTCATTTAGACTTCTACGGCTCTTTTACATTACACTGGCAGAGTTTAGTAGTTGCAACAGAGAGCATATGGTTTGCAAAGCCTGAAATATTTACTGTCTGACCCTTTACTGAAAAAAGCCTGTCAACCCTTGTTTTACACATTAATCTCTGAAAGTGATGGAGGGGGTAACTGTGTTACAGTGGAATTAAGCTTACATCAGCATACTGAACATTGAGACCCTCCCAGATTCCACCAAAAGCTTACCTTCCAAGCACTCGTGGCAAGGAGAGCTCTTATCTAAAGAGAATTCAGGGCCATGCCTTGTCCCTGCCCTTTACCCAGAGGAAAGTAACAAATTCCACCAATATGCAGATAATGCCCAATCAGCACTTTATGCTATGATAAATGTAACTGAGCAGCTTAGGGTCACGAAACTCTTCAGGTAAATCTCCATCATGACAGAGAGGGGGAAAAGGAGGTTTGAAAGAAATAGCAAAAATAGGGTTACAGAAAGCCCTTAAAATAGATATATGTACATATATATTACAAATAGATAGAAGACATCATGAATAACACTCATTGTTGATATAAGACAAACGCATGTAGTTACTGTTTTCCTAAACAAAACAAGGGATCTTGGAAATTAAAAATGATAGCAATAAAAATATAAAGTGCAGGGATAAGTGACAAATTTGGGGACATCTCCCAAGAGAAGGTAAAACAGGAGAGAATTGATCCATAAATGTCAACTTTGATTAAGAATTCCAGAAAGAAGAGAACCAAGAAAACATGGGGCAGGAAAGTATCAAAGACATAACAGAATATAATTTACAGGACTGAAGTGTGAATTTTCAGACTGGAGGGGCCTACTCTGTACTCCGCACAACGAGAGACACAAATTCTAGCTGGATCTAGACCACATACCACTGTAACATTTCAATATCTCAGGAAAATGAAAAGATAATGGGGTTCGGCCTCCATGAATATCTGACTAGGTAATTCAGAACAGTCCTCTGCTACGTCAACTAAACAAGAACATTCATTGAAAAAATGTTTCAAAATCATGACAGCAAAAAGCTTATAAGATGCAAAGGAAGTGTCAAGCTAAAATCTGCTAAAGAGGAAGAACTCCCCAAAGTAAGCCTGCACACAACACTATCCCTGTTCCTAGAAGTAGCCACACAGTTGAATGAGCTTCTGTCAGCCACAGGTGCAACAATAGTCAAAGCCCAGAGACCAGACGTCACACTGAAAGACCTCTACACTTACTCCTGCCAAGGATCAGTTACACCACACTGCAGAAACTGTATGGTAGCTTCTATATTCTCAGACTCCAAGGCAAAGTATTTGAAAAGTTTAAAATAAGGGAGAAAAACATAGATATAGCTAAAACAGAAAAAATGAGTAACCAGAAAGCCATATGCAAAATATAAAGCAAAAGATCACAAATTTTTTTCAGAATGTATAATTTGAAATTGTAATAATAATGTAAAATTTTATAGACAGTTCACAATTTCAGAACACTCATTTACTATGATTAAATTTATTTAACTAATTAGACTTAAGAAAATTTTAAATTCTTTCAAAAAGCTAGGCACTGAGGATTCTAGACTAATAAGGATTGGTATTGTGAAATAGTTGCTCAATTTTAACTTTAACCATTTTACTAAGAAAGAATGAAATCTAGTAGTATAACATGGACATAAATTCTAAAGTAAAACAAACAGCTTGACAAACAAAACAATTTAAAGTTGAAAAATATTTTTGAAACAAAAATTATCTTGTCACAATCAAGAAAAATCCAAAGTTGACTAATGTCATCCTCCCCTGTGCTATTTAAAAGTACGCATGATGGCACTCTTACCTGGAATAAGATCTGCATAGGTCAAGCTAATATATAAGATACTGATAAGTATTTTATCAGCAAGTGGATCAAGAGCACTTCCCAAAGCTGATTTTTGATTGGCCCAGTTTCGAGCAATAAATCCATCCAACTGAAAATAGAAGTTTTTTTAATAAATGTCATAACAGGTACAGAATAGATATTTTGAAGTTTAAGAGATACCAGAATAACAACTATACTTTCATAAAATGTAAGTAAAACTTTTTTTGGTTCTTATCCCCAAACTTCACTCTCCACTGGTATAGATCTGACTATTAAATTACCAACTAGTCTGAAAATAGATTCACTTGTGTACACAGCACTTTCTTTCCTCACTACTTTTGGGAATTTCTTAATGTTTTCACAAAACCATTTTGTGGGATAAACCAGGGCAATAATGTAAAGAGCCCACATAAAATTCACAAGGAAGCATGTCTGAGAGAGAGAGCGTGAATTAGGAGGCCATTTGAGACCTGAGCTATTTCATTTTAGCCAAAACAGATGCTTTTACTTGAAAGAACTACGTTTTAACAATGACACACTTTCATTTCTACCTACTTTTCTATAATATGATCCAATACCCCAAGTTTTAACTGTTATTATTTTACTTTTTTTTTTTTGTTCGTTAAATGTTGCTATTAGTTCCATATCTAGGATATTCATGTAATCTATGTTTGGACTAAATAATTCAATTCTCTTACTTGGTCTACTTAAAATTATTTACTTTTCCTGGAAACATTATATTTTAAAGCAGAAATCATACTTGGTTGCCAGGGGACCTACCACTGGGTAGTTAGAACTACTTTTAAAAATATAAATTAGATGCCAATACCTAAATAGTCAACGCATACCACTCTGAATAAGGCAAATATTTAAATTAAATCCAGATCTTCAGGTGAGAAATGGGAAGACCTGGCCAACCAAAGACCATAAATGAACTGGAAACATGTCCAGCCTATTCCCACTAACCAAGACAAGTATTTTCTGTTTTTACTCATTTTAGTTAACTTCAAGTTTCAACAAATGTCTGAACCTTCTATTCCTATTTCCCAGGGGGACAAAAACAAACAAACAAACAAAAAAAAAAAACACAAGTTATTTTAGGTGTAAATAAACAGGTACATATTAAAGACTGAGTAAGTCACCCATAAGTCAGGTATCCCAATGAGTTAGAGGAGATAGCGGGAGTACTAGACAGTGGTGAGGAACTTGTTCTTGCAGCAAAATGTAAATGGTTCCAGTTCTGCCACTTACTAACTCTGTGACCTTGGGCAAATTGCTTGGCTTCTTGAAGACTCAGTTTCCTCATTTGTAAAACAGAGATAATATTACCAACCTCAAAGGGATTATATTCAGCACATAACCTGATTAATACTTGCTCAGCACTGAGCCCTTACTAAATCCTCCAAAAAAGCAGTTGCTAGCTATTACGACCACAATTGAGAGACTCTATTTTTCTTTTTAAGTATATCAGAAGTAATGTTCTAACAGAAAGTGCCTTGAACTGGGAGTTGGGGGTCTTGAAAGATTCAGTTTCGGTTCAGTTGCTGATGTCAGAGAATTTTATCTCCCACTTTTCCCTAAAGACACCTGTTCATCCTTCACTGTTCCTCTAACCCACATTAAAATCCAAGGTCACTGTGTATACTGTGTTCAGTTTTAACAATAGAAACAGATTGCCAACACTCAAATTTCCACTTCCAAATCCACCACCTCCTTGATCTATTCACAATTTCTGTACATTTTTGATCCCCGAACCCCGACCCTCTCAGCTTCTGTAATTTGCCTATTTCCTCCCTCACCTTCCCTGCAACATCAATCTTTCTCTTTCCAGTAGATCACTGAATCAATTAACAACAATATACCCCAGGACTGCATGTGTGTGTGTCTAAAAACTATCCTTTGTGACCCTATTTCTCTACTGCCCATAAATCACACTTCCTTAAAGTGATGACTATGTCATTACCACCTCAAATTTGCTTGGTAATTCACTCTGTCTTCACCTCCTAAAGTTGGTGTTCAAAAAAGGTACCAATTTAATTCTACATTTTCAGCTGACTTGACCCTCAACGTAGTATAACTGGAGCTTACTATCTACTTTCTTCCTTTCTCACCAGCTATTTCTCAGTGTCCTTTATCGGCTCCTCCATGGCTCAACTCACTGCTTACTTCTCAGGCTCCTTTTCCTTTGCCGCAGCCTAAATACTATGACCCAACATCTTCGTGCTGGTAACTTTCAAATTGTATCTCTAACAATGACTTCTACGCCAACTCCCTGAAACTCCCCAGTTGATATTTTTATGTGGACAGGTATAACAACTCTTATTTCCACAAACCCTATCCTACTGTGAGTGTGGTGCCCATCATGGAAAACATGTTGCCTCCACCTTCCCAACTGTTAAAAAGTTACAGCCTACTGGTCCTATTTAACTCTGATCTCTCATCCCACTTATCCAATGCATAGCAACTTTAGTTCAAACCCACTCACTCCTCTGCAACTCCAAATTCCCACCCCATACAAAAGACTACCACCATTCCCCTAGATAATTAGAGCTTGCTAACCACTATTTCCATTCCTGCTTTTCTATAATCCATTTCCCACACAATATAAATCAGGCCTTGTCATTCCCTTGCTTAAGTCTTCAGTAAGCCCAAACATATGCCTACCAGCCAATCTAATGGCATCAAACTTTTATGGAGTAAATCTGAAATATGGTGCCAGTAAATTTACGTTTTCCACCACATTTTCTTTTATATTGTAAAAGAATTTACATATGAAAATGAGGTCCCTCCTGTTTGTGAATATTGCAATCTCCTATGGTAGTTATATTAAAACAAAACAAAACAAAACAAAAACACAAAACCTAGTAACAAAAAGAAAAAAACAGTAAGTGAAAAATATCTTTTCTGCTACATTAAGAAAACAATTTCATTATCAGTATAAGGGCCTCTTACACATTCAGAGAACTATTAATCATGACTAGAGGCCTCCAAGCTTCAAAGATAAAGGCAGGGACAAAAGAAGAGACTGTAGCAAAGGGAGAAATTGGGACAAACAGGACCTTGACTCTAGAAAAAAGAGGTGGAAGCCATTTTGAGACATTATATTTAATGCATATTTGGAAATGTCACATTACAACAATGTAAAGGCCCTGTTAGTCATGAAATTCTTAACCTAATTCTGTATTGTTCACCAATGTATTGGCAGGTACATTTTGTTTCTTTGAACCTCAAAGGAAATAGCTGAAGGTACAAAGAAATATTTATACAACATATATTAATAGGAAATTAGTTTATCTTTATTCTCACTAAATGAACAAAGCTTTCAAACATAAATCAGTCTGCATAAGTACCAAACCACTACTTCTTGTTTGGGTTGCATGGATCTCAGACTAGCCTTACACAAGGATATGTTCTATCTAATTCTACTTACTTTTGTCCTGTCTTCTAAGTTTTTCTACCCTTCCCCCACCCCTCAACTATGTTTTTGGAGGATGTTGTTGTTGTTTTATTAAATATTTATTTTACTTATTTATGCATACAAGAACTGGGGTGTAGCCCAGAGGTGTGGGAGGGTGACAGGATTCACCAGAGACAGAGTGGGGAGCAGAACAAGTGAATCCACTGAAATATACTGCTGAGGGGAGGAGTGGGCTAGACAGGAGAGGTCTGCTGCGCTATGTTGGTTAGTGCCGTAGCCGTAGCTGGGGATCAATCTTGTGCTATAGTGGCTAGCAACAGCTTGATAGCACTGAGATTTTAACCCCTGCACCAACCGGGAAGCCCAGGACTTGCCATTTCAAATTATTTATGAAATAGGGTAGATGATAAATAATATCGCACATGATCATGGCTACTTAGCACACAAAACCTACTTACACATACATAGCTTTCTGTCACAAAATTATTTTCCAAATTTTAGTTTGTGATGCCCTGAATAAGTCCTTCCCTCATCCAGAACTGATACAGTGATGTCAAGGAGCTCTTGAAGTAAGGATGCCCAATGCCCACCCAGGGCGGATCTTCTGCGGGGTTGTGAGAGGCGTATGGAGCAAGGAACAGGGGTAAAATCTATGAGGTGCCTATCGGTCTCAACCTTACCTAAAAACCTGAGTGGAGGTCTGGCTTCCATAAGCGTCCCTGTGGTCACAACTAGCCCATTTTTTCCCTTTTTCTCCAACAATAAAACCAACTTTGTGCAGGTAGCACAATTAATAGAAAAGTTTCTCACCTTTATTTTTAATCCCTAAAACAAGTGCTTGACTTGAACAAGTATGTAGGAATTTCTAAAGGTTCTTTTATGGAGAAGTTAAAAACCAAGTGCAAAAAGATCTCACTCCTAGGTCCCCTTACAAACTCCACCTTCCAAAACAAACAAACAAACAAACAAACTCCACCTCTTTTTTTTGATAACAGAAGAAAAAGCGCCCCACATGTATGCTAACATTCTTACACAAAGTACTACGTCTGATTCATATTAAGGATTTCCTTCCATCGAAAACCAGGCTAAGATTGTACTTCCTTAATATAGTAAAGACCCAGGAATTTGGAAGGGGAACAAAACAGAGGGTGTGTATTTACAACTTACCAAATCAGTTAGCCCAGCTAAAGCAAAAACTCCTAGGGCAATATTAAAATCTTCTTCAATAATTAAGTAGCCCAAAACCGGGGCCAAGCCAATTCTCGTCATTGACAACATATTTGGGATTGTCCATGGATTTTCATACTGAAACAAAGAAATAACATAATTTAAATGCTTTAAAATCATTCTTTAAGTAAGTATACACATTCGGGAAATACCCTTCATCAACTTAAGGGCTAGACATTACATAAACTTTTAAGTTTAATTTTGAACCTTGATGTTCTTAAATCCACTCCATTTTTTATAGCCATACATCTAAAACTTTGAAGAATACAGAAAACTGAGTCATGTACCCAGGTATAGGCTAAAGTTTCTGCTATATAAAGTAGGTTTTCTTCCTAAAGAGAAAAGTTTAACAAACATGTATTACCTACCATTTAAGTCAAGACTTTAATCTATGACTTCACTATTAGAATTCAAAACTTAAAACACTTTGCTTTTAAAGTTGAAATATCAGGAAGAGCTTACATTTCATGTAGACATGAAACAGTTTAGAAAATGTCAGAAATATGAACAAATTATGTACACCTGGCATTTTGACCTAAAATATTTATTGCAAATAACTGCCTTCCCTCCTCTACACATTCTTCTATCAGAAGAATGTTAAATACTACATATAGCATATGAAGATACAAATAAAGAGGCGGGGGGGGGATTTTAATTACAGAATCTCTTTGCCTCCTTGGAGAACTGCTCGAAGGAAATGAAACTAGGAATAGGGATTGAGAAGTGAGATAAAGAGAAATGTTATAAATCTGTTCAAGACAGCCATGGAAATGTTAAGATTCCCAAGTAAAGACTGAGGGTTTTCACGGCTCCTATGTGGGAGCTGTATGTTTCCTTGAAACTTCCTTTGAAGCCAAGCTGTTTGAAGTCGGCAGGCGCGAAAGGGCTCTTTGACAGCTGGAGAGACATTCCTTCCATGCCAAATAAAATCTGTTCCATGAGTTTCAACTTGAAAAAGTCTCTACCTAGATACCCTGTACAAAGGGGTACAGAAATAATACCAAGAAAATGGTATTCCCTAAAGCTGGGATCTTTTCTTCCCTGAGTCAAGACTGCCAGTTTTACCCCATGGGACTACCTCCTTGCAAGAGCAACCCTATTTAACCTTTTTCTTAATCAGTGACAAATTTTCCAGGATATTAATTTTTTTAAACTAGGTTTCCATTTCTAAATATATCTTTTTCAATTCCATGAACCACCCTATTTAAAAAAAAAAAAGTTCTTTGAGATACTAAGTCTGTATAAACAGCCAGGAAAGAAACATTGATCTTAGCTTGAAGGGATAAAGGTGGTATTGCTGGAATGAGGTGGGGGAATACTGACATTGAAAGCTACAGGAAAAACTCCAAAATCTCCAGGAAACAATTACCAAACAAGAAGCAATACAAACCTCTACTCAGGGCCCTTTGAGACTGCAGGTAGGCCACATTATACAATTAAATGGAAACATTCTTGGAACATAATTCCAAATTCAAGTGCAAAGATCAGAGCATTTCAGAGTCCACAGAAGAATAGATAAAGTCTGTTGACCGCACAGTGGTAAGAGAGTAAGTTAAACACGATCCAAAGTTACAGTAACACATGGGTAAGGAAAGAGAGCTCATGACTGGAAAAAGGAAAAACAAAGCTAAAGGTCAGAATAAAAAGGCCTCGAGTGATTCTCCAAGATATCCACGGGAAAGAATTTAAAGTCAAAATTGCAAACTGATCATTTCGTTTGTTAATAAATAGGGTACAATGTTGTTGATACAGTTAAAGTTCTTTTTAGCTCCATTAAAATAGTACAGTTAAAAAATACGGTAACTCGAAACTTGTAATCATTAACTTGCAAAAAATCCTAAATGAAAATTAAGAGCGTTATTCTCAGATTACCCAACCAGATAACCTGTGGCATACTCGACCAACTACTGCCGTCTGGGAAGGACTTCGGCCAGGGTATGGCAACCTCAAAGCATCCAGCATTCAATCCTGGACATGCTTTAGCTATTAGTGGAGCTGAGACCCCTGCCAGGATGTGGCCACCTCAACCCATGCTGTACAACTGATGAAAGCGGTACAGGGGCCCACTGAAGACATAACAATTGAAGATGTAATAATTGCATGAGTCTTGCTAACATGTCATCTCTCCCACACTCATGCACTGGTGTCTTCAGCTTAACAGTGTTTCAACAGGTAAGCGGCTATTTTCACCTACCTCAAAAGAACGTTATCTTTTTTCTATAATTAGAGACAGGACCTTTAAATTACGACTTAAATTATCCTTCGTCTTATAATAGGGGCACTTACCAAAGGTCAAATGATAGTTACCAAACCTGCATAACAGAGAAGTCTGCATACCTTCCTTAAGGTTCTCGCTGACTTGCCACAAACACTGGGGACTCGCTTTAGAAAATTCAAAATACGCTTTTCATAAAACAAGGGAAGGCTATTTTCACCAAGGCACTATCCAAAGGCCAGTTACGGGTGCGGAGCGGGCGATAAGGGAGAAAAGGGTTCTAACGTGCCCATCGACGCAAGGTGGACAGCTGGTAGCCCTGAAATTCAGCCCGACCAGATGACGTGCCCGCAACTTCTCTGCAGGGAACGTTTTAAAAGTTCTGAAACGCAAGTGTTCGACCGCGGCGCTCCAAGAGCACGTAATTCGCGTCCCAGGCCAGCCCCGCAAGGGGCCCCTCAGCCGCCCCCACGGTACGTACCAGGCTGGGGGTGCTCGTCGGGCCCCACCGGCCGCCCCGGGCCTCGGCAGCGCCGCCTGCTCCGGCCACCGGT